CTACCCCAAACTTAGCCTCGCTGAGACTAAGGGAAACGTTGGAGAGGGGAGACAAGGAAGGTGAGAGCGAGATCAGGGACATTGCGAGTATGGTCAGGGACATTGATCAGAATCCTGAGATGATTGAGTCTTCAACATTGGATCTCATTAATGCATTAGGTGGGAGGTGCATCCTCATTGAAACGCGTTCGGACCAAAAGATCCGGCTCAATAGAGGCTGGGAGAGGTGGCTCTCCCCGAAGACTAGGGAGTATAGGGTACACCAGCRGCTATACCAAATGGACACGGCGCGGTTGGCCTCCCTAATCCTGGATGGAGAGGCCAACTCTCAGTGCACGCTGCCAGTACCATCCCAGTGGTTGGCAATTTGATGATTGGAGCATCACAACGTTGGCCTTTGCAGATGATCTTGTACTGTTGAGTGGCTCGACTATAGAGATGGGGAGGAATCTGAGGATCCTGGAGTCTTTCTGTCAACTGACTGGGTTGAGCGTTCATCCTAGGAAGTGTCACAGGTTCTTTGTTGACAAAAGGAATGTTGAACGACTGCCTACCATGGCAGATCGGTGGGTCTGTGATCCACATGGTTGAGCCGGGGGGTAGTGTGTTATTTGGGTGTTGGCATTGACACAGGGCTTGACATTTTGGCACCGAATCTGGTCTCTCAACTCCAGGAATGGATAGAGAAGATCAAGAAGGCTCATCTTAAACCCTCACAGCGGGTGAGGGTTTTAAACTTATTTACTGTTCCGAGGTTTTTCTATTAGGCAGATTTTTGCRAAGTGCCAGTGTTGAAGCTAACCAAGTTAGATGGAATGGTGCTGAAGGAGGTCAAGGAGTTCTTCCACTTGGCCCCTTTAACTTGCAATGGGTTGCTCTACTCGCAGAGTAGGGACGGGGGACTTGGAGTGGTCAAGATGGAACGGTTGATCCCCTCAATCCAAGCAAGGCGGATTTTGAGACTAGCCAGATCTGAGGATCTGGTTACCCGGACTGTTATGGTATAGTCTGCCCCACATGTGGAAGCCAGATTCAGATAATCACAATTGTTTTGGGTCAGGCCAACACTGTTAATTATTGTCCACCTTAAAGTCTCTCTAGAATGTCTCAATAACGAAATTCCAATCATCTGAATWTCTTGGTCGTTCTCACCTCACCGAGCATACAACTTCTCCAAGATCTATTCCATCCTGCCAGCTAGCTAGGGAACAACAGCTGACCTGTGACCCTCAGCAAGGATCGCCTTCAGTTTGCGATTCTGCTCCAAAAGTGTCTGAGTCTGAGTGTTGACCGGTCTGCATATTCCATCACACAGGTTGGGCAGCCTCATCATGACCTGAACGGCTGCTGACACTTTTTGAATTTCACAGTAGGTCAGGTATCCACCAAATCCAATGAACAAATAACCTGCTATTTAGTCACAAGCAACCTGATTGCAACCTGCATTTATTTGTTATGGAAGGAGACACACCCAAACATAAATAGATACACACATACACATTCCTGTTTACAGTGCTTTATCAAAAACTGGACAAATCTGTTTCATTTTTCTAAAGGAACATTTGATTCTGCACACGACAGCAAAATCTTGAATAAGCTCCCACCTCACTTTGGAGTGTTCAAGATTTTGCAGTGTGTCTCGCTCAGCTCCTGCTCCTCTGTTTGTGATGCAACTCTAACAGGAAGTGGTCTTCACGTGTATTCTTAGGCATCCAGCCCATCGTGTGCTGACAAAACTTACAAAGTTTGTCTCTAGATAAATAATTGCAGGGGTATTGTTCTATCCTAAACTTTACCTTAAGCTTCATATTTTTGGAGCATGTTGCTTTTTTATCGTCTGCTTTTTTTCTCTTGTGCTGGGAGGGGGCTCAGTGATCTCACCCTGCATGCCTGTTACAAGGTAACGGCAGGTACAGGGAGCGGTAGCGGACAAAATACAGTGCAAGTCCACTCCGCGACTGCACATTAAGCATCAGAGTTGCCTGGAGTGGAGGAAGAAGAGGAGTTTGAGACATTGTGGTGCAAGAAAAGCATGCTGCATGACTACAGGCYGAGTTTGACAGCACCTTTATGGACTGAACCATCATCAGACCAATGGCACACTAACCTAACAGTCCATCAGGGAAATCCCCATGAGTCTTGGATGCCAGTGTGGCCCTACCTCTCTGTGTGTATGTTCATCTGTCTGAAGCATTAGAAAAACTCATGATCAGAATGTACAGATTTAAATGAAATGCTAAGAAAGAAATCATTTGCTGTACATCTACATATGATTAACCTTTATAACAGAGCTTCCCAAAGTGGGGCCCCAAGCCATTTGATTTGGCCCACCAGCAGTTGTCCTGCTAGGTTGTAATCTCCTGGACTATGTAGAAACACTATCTTTCCATGTAGTCATTCCAACCATCCAATTATATAAGGAAATGTAGTGCAGATAGTCCTAACTCATGGTACTGAATTGATCTTTGCATTATATTAAGATTAATCATAAAATACAACGAACTACAAGAGACATTTAGATTRGAATAGAGCTATCAGGATTCATGACAGATGATGTCTGAGGCAGGCAATGAGAGCRRRCAGACTTTTTCTGTCAGGAGACAGAAAAAGCAGCTAGGTGAGTTTATTGTGCTGGAGCAGTTCACAGCTGCTGGACCTGAGAAGAGAGGGAAATGAGATGAGAAGCCAGATCTGAGGTGGAGGCTGGCTGATGCRGAGGCAGACTTACAAGTTGGTGAGCTGATCCAGGCCTGGGTCCAACAGGCAAGACTGGAGAACTGATTGGTGGTGGTGGCAGGTGGGCTCATATGGTGCTCATGTCTTGATCAATATTTACAGGTGGTACTGTAGGTGAGTATTTACAGGTGCCTTGGAAGTAGGAGGTGATATTTACTAGTGATGTGTCCTTCTGTGTCGAGGCTTCGAAGCATGTGCCGAGTAATAGAGGAGGATTTTTGTGGAGCACGTATCGAGGCTTGTGTTGGTGACGTATGTAGTGACGTTCGAAGCCTCGCTGGCGGGTCGTACCACATGACTGATTCAGGGACTGGTTCTCCTGTATGCGCAAGATTCAAGAGGCAATAAACGCTGCTGAATCTCCTGTAACACTATGTTGTCATGAAATTGTTTTGCATGCATTTAAGTTGTTCAGCTGAGCGACTTTTTGTCCGATTGAACTAGCAAGAAAGAGGAAAGTTTCCCCAGTCTCCTAATAATAATAATAATAATAATAATAATATGCACATAGTAATAAAACATTGCTGATAATAACTACCAAAATATTTTAAAAAACTCAACACAGTGGATCATGTGTTCTGATTTTTTTCTCATTTCTCCTGTTGTAAAAGATGGTGTCTGTTGTGTTCAAAAGAACTTGGATAGCCTACAACAGACACCATCCATCTAAAAATAAACTAGAAAAAGTGGGGAAAAAATGGAAAAGTTGTTTTTAAGAACAAACTAATAAAAAATGTGTCTCTAATATCATCAGCACCATCTCAAAATCACATTCACATCAATACTCTTTCCCAATTTTTCTTCATGCATTTTCCTTTGTGAACCAGTTAGTCTAACAAAAACAGAGATTAAAATAATATTCAAATCAAATTTAAACTTTATTTGTGGTCATTACAAACACATACACTTTATTAACTTAAAGCTTCATAAACAAGTCACGTCATAAACTTCACACTTATTGTCCACTTGATGGCGCAGTAGAGCAAATGAAGCATGACCATCTCAAAATCACACAAGCACATTCACATCAGTACTCTTTCCCTATTATTCTTCATACACTTTCCTTTGTGAACCAGTTAGTCTAACAAAAACAGAGATTAAAATAATATTCAAATCAAATTTAAACTTTATTTGTGGTCATTACAAACACTTTATTAACTTAAAGCTTCATAAACAAGTCACGTCATAAACTTCACACTTATTGTCCACTTGATGGCGCAGTAGAGCAAATGAAGCATGACGATGCTTCGACTTGTGTGGACCAGTTGGWTGGAAAGCTTCAATGCATCATCTCACCATCACTAATATTTACAGACACAGGTGCAGGAGGTACTTCAGGGTTTCACCAGGTTAGTGCAGGGCAGGTCCTCAGGAGTTTCCAGGCAGAGAGAGATACAGGAGGGGATCTAGGTGAACTTCACTACACACAAGATACACAGGACACTGATTAATAACTTCAAGAGATCTAAATACATAGGAGAGGCTGAGATTACCARTACCAAAAATGACTGATGAACCAGCACTGGATGGAGGCAGGTGAGGTCCTKAAATGCAGCCAGGGCTAATCAGCTGCAGCTGGCTCAATCAGCTGCTAGACAACAGTGATTGAGAAACCACAGACAGACTCCAACAAGAGCACACATCTAGATTTGCACACTTTATAAAAATCACAAATACAAAAATTTTTATTTGTGAAAAGTCCCATGAGCCTTTGACCAAATGTCAACTGCCCTGATCTGTTGAACAAAATATTTAGTTTTTCTTTGAATAGAATCAATTTTATGTAGATTTTTTATTTARCACTATGCCCAATGTATACTTAAAACGTTTCTGTGGAAAAGTTTGTACCTTAGGGATTGTTTACATACATAATGTGCAGCCAGTCATTACTGAATRTTTTCAGAATTTATTGACAATCTAGTGATTTTAACTGTTGTTTTTATTTTTGAAGCTCATGTATGTATGAGGATGAACACACACACACACACACACACACACACACACACACACACATATACCTGTTTATGTCATACATGGGATCCATGTTCACTGTGACCATTATGGGCTTTCAGTAAATGAGGGATWCCAACAATTTTGTCCATGTGTGTATTGTTGCAGCAGCAAAGCACCCTTGCAGAAAACATTAAAATAAACATTTTTGCTGGATGCTAAATTATTTTATTTTAACAGTGCAAGTTCTTCAAAGAATTATTGAATATATTATTTGGTTAAATGAATGATGCACACTGTTTCTGCTTTTCTAGGTCCATCGTGGGACCCTGCAGCTCCCCTAGTGAACCCCAACCCTTGAAGATCTATCTGACTCAAGGAAACCATGGGACTCTTCCCGGTTTACTCCACTACATTCCTCTTTCTCCTCCTTTCTCTGCTCCTCCTCTGCTACCCCTGCATCTCCCTCAGGTCTCAGGTCATTGAACGAGCAGTCAGTCCTGAGCAGACCCACTCCTCGAATAACACCACAGTGTTTGAAAAGAAGAAATGTGCAGGTGTTGTGGTGTGTAAACCTGGTATTCTGTTGCCGGTGTGGTTGCCACTCAACCCTCCACTAGGGGAGCAGGCAGGAAGGGCTATCATCTACTTCTTGTGTCTCATGTACATGTTCCTGGGTGTGTCCATCATTGCAGACCGCTTCATGGCATCAATAGAAGTCATTACCTCTCAGGTATTGTTATGTTTAATGTTTGTGCTAGACATTTCATTTGTAATTTGTGTTTATTTGTTTTTTTCATGGTATAATAGTTTGTTTTAGAGTTTGTTTTAGTTTTTCTGTCTAAAAGGTGAATGTTAATAAATTCAGCTTGACACTGTCTAAGAATTATCTACAAATTTTCTACAAATACATTTTTCTAATTAATACCAGTTTTTTAAGATTACAAACTAGCCACCTTACTTAGTTCTGTACAGCAAATGCGTGTTCGATAATAAATGGACTGTATTTATAGAGCACCTTTATATCTAACCAGAATACTCAAAGCTCCTTACACTGTAATCTGTGCCCTTGTTTATCCATTTACTCAGCAGTCTATTACTGTATGTCTCTACAAAGCAAATCAAGATCGATCATTCTATGGAGACTATAATCAGTGCTTTAACTCCTGTCAGTGTATGAATGGGATTTAAAGCACTGATAGGAAGGACTCCATGGAATGATCTGAGAGTCTGAGCAACTGAACAAGTTGTAAGCAAGACCAAATGAAAGTGCACACACGAGACAAAATAAAAAAAAGAGTAAAATGGCTGAGACTGGAAGATTGTGACAACATAGCAGTAATCTACAATTGATTCATAACATCTATAAACAGTCAAACAGAAGAGAACAAAACAAAATGTGTCTTAATAAAAGTCAATAATGTATAAAATAAATATATTTAAAAAAATGATGAGCTCTTCCACTCAGAGGTTCTGATCCTCAGTCAGTGGATCGGAGAGCTGGATACAAACTGATGAGAGCAGATCAGACAACTGCAAAACTTAAAGTTTTCAGAGTCACAAAGAAGGATTTCTTTAGGTCTGGTTAGGTCACCATTGTAACAGAGGCTGAACCCAGTTTCTGTCAGTAAGAAGCTCTTTCTTTACCTGGTGATATTGAAAATATTACAATGTGACTGAAACAGTATTTATGTGTCATAGTTCTACCTGCTGCTGTAAGATTTTAAACTAACAGATTATTAAATGCAACAAAACTAAAACTTCCACCTTCCTAAAAGTCAAATGTAGAGCTCTGATTCACATCTAAAAGGTTTCATTTTAAAATTTAATATACTGCAGTGTTTATTTAGGGATGTATAAACATATCCCATGGATTCTAATTTCAGGTCAAATTATTTAATTTGAGCCAAACCTATTTCTTTATTTATTATATTTCAACATTGCCTGGCCCTTGCCTTCCTACGCAGCTCCACTCAGTTCTAGTTTCCCTTCACTGCTCCGTCTGGGACTTCTCCCATTGACAATGATTTCGCTGGCAGATTTTTAGCCGGGCCAATCAGAGAACAGAACATTGATTTTCTGCACAGTGTCYGCTTGTAGTTTATTTTACCTGGGCCAATCAGCAAACAGAAGGTAGAGTTTTGAATGACGTCGATGTTCTGCGCAGTGTCTGCTAGTTAGTTTACGGCAGTGGAGGAAGAGAATGAAGCCAGTCCGTGTTGATAAGGCTTCCAAATTAAAATAAAATTGTCTGACAAAGCAGCAGCTCTCATTTACAGTCGCCTCGTTCAGCTTGGTACTTTTCTCCTCTCAGTAGGGTTGTTTACAGCAGGGGTTCTTAACCTTTTTAACCTTGGGGCCCAATTTGTTCAACAAAAAGTGACACGAGGCCCAGTCACACATTACCATATGGATCAAAATGATAATTATTCTAAAGCTTGGTTTAATTTGTATTGTATTTGCATTATAACTAAATAAAATACACTTAATTTAAAACTCCTGTCAAATATTCACAAGACATGATTATGACAAGCATTTTTTTAAATATTGTAACCTGCCCATAACAATTATTTGAACAAATACAACTGTCAGTCAACAGACCACTCAGGCTTATCAGCACAAATATAACATTTTTTACAACAAAACAACAAAAATAGATAATTCAGTAAATAAAATTGTGATCAAAAGATACATTCAAAAATATTTAATGTTCCAAAAAAACCCTGTAAGAATAAAATTGATAAAGTGCAAATGAAAATAAAGCCTTTTTAAACTTTTGCATGGTAGAACCAGACACTCCTCTTCATATTAGTGACAAACAACAACAGTAACAACAGCTTTTTGACAAAATGCTTAAAAATAAATTACAAAAAGTGCAAATTAAAATATAGCTGTATCTGCAACTGTATTTGATAATATTTGAACTTTTAAAATATTGCATGGTAGAACTAGAAGCTGCTCTTCATATTAGTGACAAACTGCGTTACCTTTATTTTTACCTTCTACTTTTAATTTAAAATAGGTTTCCATTCTCGGCAGCTTTCTAAGATTCTTCTACGTATTTTTTTTCTTTGATTTGATCCATCAAAGAAAAAAAAAGATTCTTCTACGTATTAAAAAAAGTTGTTAAACATCTGAGTGGCGCACTACCGCAAACTACTGGTGAGAAAGTGTATTGCACCTTATTCAAAATCAATGCGGTCCCACGGCCCTCTGCTGCCCAAAGTTAAAAACTGTTGTTCTTTTGAGGCCCTGAAGGTGGTGCTCGCGGCCCACAATTAGGCCGTGGCCCATAGGTTAAGAATCTCTGGTTTACAGCACACGAGATTTCCGGTTAGCTTCTTAGCTTAGCCTCCTTCACACCAACAACACACACATGCTTCAGCAGAGGCCACACCTCCTGCAAGAAATCAGTTTTCTAACAGACCCTTGTACGAAGCAAAGTGAAGGACGGTCTGGTTTAAACCAGGCTAATTTCAACATAAAAAATATAAAAATCTGCTGTAAAACTTGAACACACTCACAGACCAACTTTTATCACATTTTATCTTAAGAAGCTGCAGTTTTGTTTCAGCAAAAAAACAAATGTGTTCATTTTAGTAAAGATCAGAACAATAAATAAACCTGAACAACTGGACCATCAGTCTAACATTCAAACAGCTGCTGATTCAGACTGTTAATAAAAATATTCACGTTTAAACTTTAATGGCTGATCATTTCAAACATAACTTGGACACCATGGAGAGAATAATTGGCTTTTATACAGTATCTATGGATCTACCTGCTGACAGAGCTGAACTCTTTGTTACTAGTTTTCACAAATAAAGCCTTAATTATATACACACCTTGTTTTACACAGAACAATGATACAGTATGTTTGTTTTAAACTCACCAGGTGAGGCTGTGCAGGTAGAGAAGTTACAGCTAACAGAAACTTGAAGCCAGAGTCTATTAAACATACAGTGGTTAAAATAATTATTGAACACGTCAACATTTTTCTCAGTAAATATCGTAAGTATCATGTATTTTAAGATGCCACTTCAAAAACACCAAGAATAACTGATATGAAG